TTCGACCCAGTCGCAACAGACGTCATGGTTCGCGCTGTGGTGGTGTGGAGGGGTGGACCTTGTGTGGAATGGCAAACTACGGGTTGGTAGTGTAACAGGGAAAAAAGGAGGGGGGGGGGGGTTCCAAAGGAGAAATGAGAGGTTCAAACAAAGTAACATGTCATGAATCGGATAGATTTTTTTTGCCAATCCTTATCACCAGATTGACTAGACCTTTCGGCATAAGCTTTTGAATCCTGAGGGAGATTATTCCATCCGTTGTAAATAGGTGTGAGGCTATAGTGCGATAGGAAATGCTTTTTCTAACCCTGTTTAACGGTACATACCTCGAAGAGAACACCCATCCAATTGTCTAATTTAGAATACACATACCCAACATTGGATGCATTCCTCAGACGTGTTTGCCCGAACAGAACAATTTCTTAATGCAATAAAAAACGATTCCTCAAATAAAGGATAAGAGGAACGCATCTAAATAATAGTTTACATATACACAACCTTGTATGGCACAATCATAATAATGTCTACCTTGGTTATTTTTATCATTTAATACATACACACATATATGTGCTTGCCGGAGAGAACTATGGATCAAATGGTGAAAAGGTTATAAAAGCGTATATGTGGGTACTACTAAAGGCTTCGATCTTTGAGTTTATTTGTCTTCGAATCCGAAGGGGGCTTCTTGCTGTTTATGACATTTGATCTAACGGATTCGTTTGGGGTGCGCAACTTACGTAATATAAGTCGGTTGTCTGGTGGAGAGAAGTCAGTCATTGTATCGTTCTTGATCTTCACCTCGTAAAATTTGCGCTTCATGTTGTGTAGATCGCGACGCAGGCGCTCTGCTTCGTACTTTAACTCATTAATATGGGTAAAAGTCATATTAAGCTCTGAGGCCTTCGCCTTCATTGATGTAGCCTTCTTCTGCAACTCATAATGACTGGCATTCAGCTGCCGCACGACCTCCGGCCCGAGCTGATTGCCAATCACGTTTTGAAGCTCCGTCACCAGGCGCTTCTTTTCATCTAGAATGAGCTCTTTCTCTAAACATTCTTCGGATTTGGCGATGAGCCGCTTTCGTAATATTCGCTGCTTATCCTGAAGCTCCTCAAACGACGGGTCCTTGCCTTCTATTTTTCGTCGAGATAGGCTTTTCGGGTCCTCGATTTCCTCGGCCAGTGCGACACCCTTTGCCTTTTCCATTTCGAGCTGGCGTCTGAGATGGTGCAGGTTTTCTTTATTCACCTTCAGATCCCGCAGGCGGGTGTTTGAGAGGTTCGCCTGACGCCCGATTTCGGATATTTTAAAGCGCAAAAGCCGCAGATCCCCCATTCGCTTTCGGTACGCGGCCTCTCCTTCCACTAAGGCCTGATGCTGCAGGCGAAGCATCTCGTTGAGGAGCGCAATTTCGTCATTTCGCCGGACGAGCTGGGTCCCGAGCATATCGCGATTATGCGTCACCTTCAGCAGTTGCTGCTGCCGCGCGGAGAGGTCCTGATCGCAATTGCTGACAATCTTCACCAACTGTTTAATACGCAGCCCAATCGAGATCGATTTGGCCTTGGTGGCCTCGAAGTTGAGCACCTCCTCCCCGACGTGCTTTTGTGCCTTCAGCAGCCGCTCCGTCATCTTCTTTTGGGTATAAGCCTCCTCTTGATCCTTCCGCTGCTTAATCTGGAGCTCCTCCTTAAACTGCAGGAGCTGGTGATCCATCATTTTGAACTTTTGCTTGAGCTCCACCACCTCGTCCTGGGTTTCGATCAGCTTCTTCGAGAACTGATTTCGCCCCGCACGAACCTGCTCGTAGACGCTTTGCTGCTTAGACAGGTTGGCCTCACTTTCCTCGATGAGCTTTTTCGTCTCCTCGACGGACGTGCAGGTCATCAAAAGTTCATCCTTCGTGGCGTTGTGATCACTCGCCACCTGCGAGCTTTCATATACGCACTGCGTCGTCTCCTTCTCAAAGCCGGAAAGGGCGACCAACAACCCCGACTCGATCTCGTGTTGCTTTTGAATGAACTCCTCCAGCTCTTTTTGACTCTCCGTCTCGACTTGAATGCGAGTTTTGATCGCATTCTGCTTTTCAATTTCCTCCTCCCCTTTTTTCTCGATATCGTTGCACTCCTTCAGGATGATGGTATGGACCTGCTCAAAGCTCTTCCGCTCCTTCACGAGGGAATCGATTCGCCTGCGAACTTGTTCGCATTGGTGCTGATTATTCTCCTGCTCCTGGCGAATGCTATCATTGAGTTGTTGTAAATGCATGAGTTCGTTAATATCGCGACCTTTAACGCGCTGAACCCGCTCGTATTCGTTTTCCGCCTCGAGGATCTTTCGATCCAGATCGACAATCATGCGGTTCATCGCATTAAGCCGATTGTTGATATTCATCGTCGTGTCGACGCTGTCATTACAGGACTGCTGGGTGTGGAAAAGCTGTCGGTCGGCGGTCTCGAGTTTTTTCTCCAGCGTCTGCCTATTTTCCATCGCGACGTTGATCTCGGAATGATAGTTGGCGATGGATTTCTCTAATGCCGTTTGGCGTTTCTGGACGACTTTTAACTCGTTCTCGCGGGTTTGGAGAACGACAATCAGTTCTTTGCACTGATATTCCGCTCGCTCCCGCGCCCCTCGCTCACGGGTGTACTCCTGATTCGTCAATTTGTGATGATCCCTGAGGCGTTCGATCTCCTCCTCGTAGTTGTGGATATTGGCATCGGCTTCTTTAATTTGAACCCTCAAGTCGGCAATGCTTTTGGTATATTTCGCATTTCCCTTGGTCATCTCTTCACACTCCGTTTGAAGTCGCTTCGTGAGCATCCTCAGGTGATCCAAATTCTCGGTGTGGTCGGAGGTAAATGCGGTGCCCTCTTCCATTAAAGACTGCAAGGATGCGATTTCCTGCCGAAGTGACACCACCGTCTCGCGAGCCCGTTGATCTTTATTATTCGCACTATCCACCACCTGCCAGGCCTTTTCAATTTCGCGTTTGAGAGCCTCGATCATGCTGTGATCACCCTGGGATAACTTCACCGCGGCCTGCATCTTCGCCGCATTGCCGAGCAGGTCTTGCGTCATTTTCTGGCATTCGCCAATTAACATCTTTTCCGACTCGTGGCTTTTTCGCAACGCAAGATAAATCCGTTCGTACTCGGACTGAAAGTACTCATGGCCCTCCTCCTCCTTGAGGGCCTCCATGACCTCCTGAAAATCCTTCCTTAGCTTATTAAGGACATTATCGCCTATACTAAGCTCCTCCTTCTGTATGTGCATCATTTTTATGTTTGAAAATATTAACAAACCAAAAAATGCTTCTAGCTATGGTAGCTCAGTAAATATGAGCTCCGTGCTCTAATGTTTTCTTTACTCTGCTATATATATATATTTACATATAATATATATAGATATACCTTAAATGCACTAAAATTTAGAAAAGTGAAGAAACAACATCTCAAAGAATCATTTGGCGTTTGTATATAAAATAATAATGATATTTACACTATAGGATGGGCCCTATTTTTGCTTTTCGTGCTTTTGTGATCTAAAGCGCAGACATCATGGAGCATATTCAAATTTACAATAAAAAATGAGATCGAAATAAAGCGCATGGCGAATCGGCAGTATAATCTATTGTAGATCCATAACAAAAATAAGTGTACACTTCGAGTGAATACGATGATTCAACGGGATGTTATAGCAAAGCGGCAGCGCACTCAACCAAGGTAGAAATTTATTCACCATTTCCAGTCTTCATGTTAACCAAATTGAGGCCTTTTCTAAGTTCCACAAGTTCAGCTTCAACACGCTTCATTTGCTTTTGCATTTCACCATGATTGACTGCACGCTTTTCAAGATCTATCAGCCAGTCCTTGATTTCCTGAAAGACCCCATCTAAGGGAGTAATCCCTTGTAGTTCTGTAATTTGCTCACGGTGCTCTCGCAGTGCTTCTTTCACAAACTGAAGTTCGTCTTGCTGTTGCTGGATATGGGATTGGACGTTGTAGGCGTTCTTCGATAGCTGCATATGCTGATGATTCCATTTTTCGACCGTCTCCCTCATGGAAGTCTCCAGCCCTTGCACGCAGTGCTGAAGACTTTCAACGTTGGCCGAAGGAGTTGCCTTCAGTGCTGCGCTCTGGACAAAGTTCGGATGGAAATTCGGAATCGGCAGGTCGATATATTCCTTCGAAGGGGACTGCGCACGATTGAGTGAATTTGTTATCTCCCGCTCAGGTATTGCGGTAGAATCTATGAGTGGTTGTGATTGTAGAAAACCCTCCAGGTTTGTTTTCTCGATGGAAAATCGCCGTTGGATTTTTAGGGCGTTTTCCTCAACGGACGTCCTACTGTTGGAGAGGCTTCGAGGACGGTGTTGGGCGATGGACTGCTTTAATTCGTTGAGAGTTTCCTCCATTTGACTGAGCCGGAGTTCCGTTCGCTGCCCCTGGCGCTCGATCTCCTCCCTGAAATTAAGAAGAAGCTCCTTGACAGGATCAGGAGGCAAGTTCAAGGGCTCTATGTCGCTATTTTCTGCTTCAAGACTCGTCATCAGGACGTCCGAATCGCGCATCAAATAGTTTTCTAAATCTACGCACACGTCGGCAAGCCGCGTGCAGTGGCTGTGGTGATGTTGGTTAGATCGCTTCAGCTGATTCTGCAAGCGCGCGGACTCGCTTTCAAGCCGTCGAATCCTATCCTGAAGGTCCTCAAAAAGTCCGCGGAGTTCGATCAAACTATGAGATTTGGTAAAAAAATCGAACTCCCAAGCGTCGCTCTTTCCTGAAGGCGTACAGCTTCTAACAACAGGACAGGGTCCCACAGATTCCATGTCGAAGTCATCCATTTCGGTGTTTAGCATGGGAATATGGTTTATATGCTATTTGAAAGAATTATTTTCGAATATATATATATATATATATATATATATA